CAAACACTAGGCATAAATACCTGAAGGAATTGATGAATATTTCCTCTTTCTGTTGTTGTGTTTGTGATGCTTCTTTCGATTTGAAACACAAGATCATCGCGTCTGTGGTGTTGAAACCGGAGAATTCCCCCGAATAAATTATCGGAGGCCCTCCTTCTAGCGCCAAACTGTTGTTAAACGATTTTGTAACAACATAAAATGTATACCCCTATTCCGTGAATAGGGGATGTAGGCTTCATAGAATTTGTGTAGTGATTTTTTGGTGTATTTGGATGTGATTCGTATATGTTTTGTATATTGGATTTACTATGTTTTCATGGTTTGTCTGTTGAAAGAAGAAAAACGGACCAAGATTCAGAAGAAAATGAATAGAGGACAGGGGAGGAAAATCTCTCCTTCCCATCGCCTTATTTTTGTGCAGATAAGAGAGAAAAGTGATGGTCATCCCTCAGAAGACAAAAATCTGTCCTTATCCATCATAGGGAGTTTATATATATATAGATATTCATTGGGCCCGATATTATTGCAAGCGGTATTATTCTTGGGCTTTAATAATAAGATAAAATATAATAACTGACTTAATATATATCCACATGATTTAATATATATATCCACGTGGACTATCTTAATAGGCGAGGCCACAATTAGGTATCAACATAGGTGATGAAGCATGCTCAACTGGTAAGTCTATAATGATCTGCCCAATACGTATGGTGTGAGGTGAACTGTGAGGACTAGATGCAGGTGTGGAGGTGGAAGAATGTTGTGTAGTGTTGTGAGTGTGTGTAGGTGAATGGGGGGTTGAAGAAGAAGGTTCATCGGAAGTATTTGGGGAATTGTCATGTGAATGTATTAATGGTATGAGGTTAAGGGATGGGGGACAATCATTTGGAGAATGCATAGTTGTTGCAGGTTTATTGTGAGGTGGAATATCTGGAAGAGCAAAAGGAAAGACAGTATCAGCGAAGATCACATCCCTTGAGATAATGATTTTTTTGTTTGGAAGAAGGATTTTATACCCCTTATGCTTTGGACTGTATCCCAAAAAGGTAGAAGGCTGACTTCTGGGTTCAAGTTTGTTCCTTGTGAAAGGTCTGAGGTTTGGGAAACACAAGCATCCAAAGTTTCTTAAGTGGGAATAGTCTGGTCTGGTTCCAGTGAGCTTTTCATGAGGTGTGATGTATTGAAGAATTTTCTTGGGGGTTAAGTTGATTAAATGAACAGCTGATGTGAAGGCTTCATCCCAGTACATTAAAGGCATGCTAGATTGGGAAAGAAGAGACAAGCCTACCTCCACTATATTTCTATGGTTTCTTTCAGCTAACCCGTTTTGTTCAGGGGTGTAAGGACAAGAGATTTTGTGTTTGATCCCAACATGGTTAAGAAAATTAGTCATCCCAATGAATTCACCCCCACCATCAGTTTGCAAGGCTTTAATTTTCTTGTTTAATTGATTTTCCACAAGCTGTTTGAATTGAGTGAAGGCAGGTAAGGTTTGAGATTTATTTTTAAGCAAGTAAATCCAAGTAAAACGAGTGGCATGATCTATAAAGCTTACATAGTATCTAAAACCATTATGAGACACTGAAGGTAAAGACCCCCAAAGGTCACTACGTATAAGTTCAAGTGGTGCATAAGAATAAGTAGAAACTGAATTGAAAGGCAGCTTATGCATTTTGGATTTCATGCAGTCAACACAAGGAATAGAGTTTCCATTTCCAGAAAAAGGGATGTTACAATGTGTCAATGCTCTTTTCACTACATCATGAGAAGGGTGACCCATTCTTGAATGCCATAAATCTAAGTCTAGTTTATTGGAGAGCTGGGCATTAAAGACACTTGATTGAAAGCTGGTAAGGGGTTTTTCTTGTTGGTGGACAACTGGATTCTTGCTTTTGATGAGGTGAAAGGTGTAAAGGCCATTCCTAAGGGTCCCTTCCAATAGAACTTCCTTGGTTGCTTGATCCTTCACAAAACATGAGAGGGGGTCAAATTCAAAGAAAACTTGATTGTCCTTTGCAAATTGTGAAACACTCAACAAGTTTTTAGTGATTTGCGGGACATGAAAAAGGGTGTTTAGGTAGAACAAATGATTGGGATTATGAGCATATTCAATGTAAGACTTGCCAAGGTGAGCAATTTTCATACCTGCCCCATTTGCCATTTGAATAGTCTCTGATCCATAAAAGTCTCCTGCTAGGCTGAGATTGCTGAAGTCATTAGTGAGGTGGTGTGTGGCTCCTGAGTCAGGATACCACCAAGAGCTTTGAGGAGTTTCAGTTGGTTGCTGTCCAACACTAGCTACATAGGCTGAGTGGTTGAAGTTTGATCCTTGGTTGAAATTTTTGTTTTCAGTAGTTGATCCTTGGACATTGTTTCCTTGAGTTCCAGGTGGTGTGTAGTTAGAGTCAAACCTGTAGTAACATTTATCAGCTATGTGGTTGTTGTATCCACAGATCTGACATCTTGCCCTTGATCCTCCAAATCTACCACCCCTTCCTCTATTTGCTCCATTTCTACCTCCTCTACCTCTAAAACCTTGAAACTGAGGTCCTGATCTTCCCTTTCCTCATTTCATTCCAAAGGTGTTTTGAGTAGCAAGGTTCACACTAAAGTTTGTGTTCTCTGTTTCAGCAGCTTTCTCAAGATTTTCCAATCTATTCTCAAAACTCAGCAACATAGCATAGCACTCCATAAGACTCAAATTTTCAGCTATAGTGGTCAAGGATACTATGATAGGGTTGTATTCAGCCCCTAATACATTTAACAAGTACAATATTTGGTCTCCTTCCTTAACTCTTTCACCTATAGATCCAAGCATATAACGCGCATCCGTTTTCTTGCTGCATGACTTTAGCTCTGTTGTGGCTTGTAAACCTAGATATGAGGCAGTTCTATACCTTTTGTTGTGTTGAGACCCACGGTTGTTACCAGAAGTCCTTCACTTAGGGATGACAACAACCAAGAAAGGATCAACTGGTCTTGTTTCACCCATTTCAGGTATAAGGGGTTGATTTCAGGAGCTTAGGTGATGGGATCTGAGATGAGCTTGTCAGGTGGAGGTAGCTCTCCATTAATGAAGTCCTCGAGGCCATATCCTCGTATGGCTGCCAAAACCTTCTGCTGCCAGAGAAGATAGTTGTCATCAGTGAGCTTGATGCTAAGTAGTTGCCCCTGAAGATGGACGGGTGGATCTGCAGAGGAAGCCCCTGAGGTAGAGATTTGAGTTTCAGGCATGGTTGTAAAAGAAAAGAGAAAAAGATGGGATTTTTATGGCTCTGATGCCATGTTGAAAATCGTGTGCAGCAAGAAAAGAGGAGAATATAAAATGAGCTCAAGATATTTTCATTTCTGCAAAAAAATTCCTTTTGTTCCCAATCATTGAATGATGATTACAAATGAGATCTCTCTAAGCTATATACCAGAGTAATGGAGTCATCTAGATACTAGGACACTTGTTTCATTACTATTGGCTAAGACTAGAGGACAAGACTTCTCCAACCAACTTGTCCTTTTGGTGCATGTGTATGGTGCCATCATGCTTAGTGCATGTGCTAGCTGACACGTCCAAATGGTGGTGATTAGCTTCAAGACTTTCATTAGCTTGGTTAATCTTGCTAACAATAATAAATAAGTCCATTAATAGTTTATGACCGAGTTTATTTTTTTTTTTTATTATTTTTTTTTTTAATGGGGGGTGGGGGGTGGGGGTGGGGATAAAGAACTGGACTTTAGATTATTTGACATATTATAAGGTAAAATGTAAATTAAGCTAAACAGATTTTTCTGAGTTTAAAAATGATATTTTAACTTATAATATGTAAATTAAGTTGTCTACGTATCCTTTCTACCTTATTAATAAAATTCATCGTAATTATCTTACTTTACTTATCTTGATCAAAGTAACAAGAAAGTATTGCAACAAAAAATCTTCGACATATTAAAGACTTTAAGAATGTGCATTAATTAAACACGTACATTTGGATCATAATAGTTGGTTCCCATAATCTTGAAAATTCGAATTATGTATATATGTGTTATATTTGTCGCACTTGCATGTAAATAATTCATGCAAGTCTATTTTAATTATTGATCAATAAATCGAATTAAACCTGGTCTCTAATACCAATTGTTGGGTTTGGCGAAGAACGTCAGTTAATTTTCCGTTAATCAAATCCTAAAAATTTGATCTTAAGTACTGCGGATCTAAAGTTTAGGATCAAAATTTTTCGTTTGAGATATGTTGACTCAAAGACAATTACACGTTCTACGAGACTGGATGGACAGTTATGTACCTCTACCTTGAAGTATTTTAATATATTCCTCTCTCTATGAGTGGCCTGAT